TATTCCCCTCTTCCCATCTTCTTTTCCCTTTGTATTCCCAGTTTCCCTTTCCCTTTCTATTCCCTTCTTCCCACCTGCTTTTCCCTTTGTATTCCCTTCTTCCTATTCCCTTTTCCCTTTGTTCCCAGTTTCCCATTCCCTTTATATTTCCTTCTTCCCTTTCCCTTTTCCCTTTGTATTCCCAATTTCCCTTTCCCTTTGTATTCCTTTCTTCCCTTTCTCTTTCCCTTTTCCTTTTTATTCCCTTCTTCCCTTTTCCCTTTGTGTTCCAAGTTTCCCTTTCCCTTTGTATTCCCTTTTTCCCACCTGCTTTTCCCTTTGTATTCCCTTCTTTCCATTCCCTTTTCCCTGTGTATTCACTTCTTCCTTTTTCCTTTGTATTCCCAGTTTCCCTTTTCCCTTTGCATTCCATTCTTCCCAGTTTCCCTTTCCCTTTGTTTATTCCCTTCTTCCCATTCCCTTTTTCCATTGTATTCCCTTCTTCCCATTCCCTTTCCCTTTATATTCCCTTCTTACTTTTTCCTTTGCATTCCCAGTTTCCCTTAACCTTTGTATTCCCTTTTTCCCACTTCTCCTTTGTATTCCCTTCTTCCCTTTCCCTTTGTATTCCCTTCTTCCCAATTTCCCTCTCCCTTTATATTCCCTTCTTCCCACTCACTTTTCCTTTGTATTCCTTTCTTCCCAGTTTCCCTTTCCCTTTGTATTCCCAATTTCCCTTTCCCTTTGTGTTCCCTTCTTCCCATTCCCTTTTCCCTTTGTGTTCCCTGTTTCCCTTTCCCTTTGTGTTCCCTGTTTCCCTTTCCCTTTGTATTCCCAGTTTCCCTTTCCCTTTGTATTCCCAGTTTCCCTTTCCCTTTGTATTCCCTTCTTCCCATTCCCGTTTCCTTTGTATTCCTTTCTTCCCTTTCTCTTTTCCCTTTGTATTCCCAATTTCCCTTTCCCTTTATATTCCCTTCTTCCCTTTCCCTTTTCCTTCGTATTCCCTTCTTCCCAGTTTCCCTTTTCCCTTTGTATTCCCAGTTTCCCTTTTCCCTTTGTATTCCCAGTTTCCCTTTTTCCTTTGTCTTCCCTTCTTCCCTTTTTCTTTTCCATTTGTATTCCCAGTTTCCCTTTCCCTTTTTATTCCCTTCTTCCCATTCCCTTTTCCCTTTGCATTCCCTTCTTCCCAGTTTCCCTTTCTCTTTGTATTCCCAGTTCCCCTTTGTCTTCCCTTCTTCCCATTCCCTTTTCCCTTTGCATTCCCAGTTTCCCTTTCCCTCTGTATTCCCTGGGAGAGGAAAGTTGGGATCATCCCAGGATCCCTCCCTGCCGGGCAGGGATTTTCCAGGATGTGGGATCCACGTCCTTGTGGCGCCTCAGGGCCCCCAAATTCCCGGTGGGAGAACATTCCCAGTGCCCAATTGGGAATATTTGGGTGGCCAGGCTTCCCAGACCCCCCCTGTCCGTGCCTGCCAGCGGGAATTTTCCCTGGAATGCCCCGTTTTCCTTGACTTTGGGGCTCAGGATCGAGAGCAAACACGAGGTGACGATCCTGGGAGGACTCAACGAGTTCGTCGTCAAGTTTTATGGACCACAAGGAAGTAAGTTTGGGAAAACCCCCCCCTCTTCCCAAAATTCCAGCTGCTGGCTCAGCCCAGGCTTTCCTAGGCCTGGCTTGGAGCTGGACATCCCTATTTTTTTGGGAATTTCCCATTAAAACAGCTTGGTTTAGCAGCAGCTCCGAAGGCAAGTGGATGATTCCCAAAATCCCTGTTTTTAACAAGGCTCCTCATGCCGGGGTTTTCCTCGGGGTCACTGGGAATTCTTTGTTCCTGCTGGATCAGGAATATTTGGGATGTGTTCCTGTGCATCCAGGTGTGCCCTGAAGATTCCAGAGGGTCTGGAATTCCTGCAATCCCGGGAAGACTTCATTTCAGGGAAGCAGGAAACCTTTTCCATAGGGAAAGTTAGGGTGGATTTTCCTTGGGATCAGCGGGAATTCTTTGTTCCTGCTGGATCAGGAGTATTTGGGATGTGTCCCTGTGCATCCAGGTGTGCCCTGAAGATTCCAAAGGGTCTGGAATTCCTGCTATCCCGGGAAAACTTCATGCCAGGGAAGCAGGAAACCTTTTCCGTAGGGAAAGTTAGGGTGGATTTTCCTCGGGATCCCTGGGAATTCTTTGTTCCTGCTGGATCAGGAGTATTTGGGATGTGTCCCTGTGCATCCAGGTGTGCCCTGAGGATTCCAAAGGGTCTGGAATTCCTGCAATCCCGGGTGCCAGGGAAGCAGGAAACCTTTTCCATAGGGAAGGTTAGGGTGGATTTTCCTCGGGATCACCGGGAATCATTTGCTCCTGCTGGATCAGGAATATTTGGGATGTGTCCCTGTGCATCCAGGTGTGCCCTGAAGATTCCAAAGGGTCTGGAATTCCTGCTATCCCGGGAAAACTTCATGTCAGGGAAGCAGGAAACCTTTTCCATAGGGAAAGTCAGAGTGGATTTTCCTTGGGATCACCAGGAATTCTTTGTTCCTGCTGGATCAGCAATATTTGGGATGTGTCCCTGTGCATCCAGGTGTGCCCTGAAGATTCCAAAGGGTCTGGAATTCCTGCCATCCCAGGTAGCAGGGAAGCAGGAAACCTTTTCCATTGGAGTGAAAAACCTTGGAAGGGAGGGAAAAAAAGGGAATAAAAGAGCTCCAATCCCAGGATTCCCAGTTAAAATCAGGGATTTCCATGGGAGTTTTGCCAGGAGTCTTCCCCCCCTATGGAATATTTTATTCCCAGGGATGTGTTTTCCTCCATTTGTTGCCTCCCCAAGCCCTGAAATGTCCTAATTCCCAAATTTCCTGCCCTGCAGCTCCTTAGGAAGGCAGAGTAGGGAAAGTCAGAGTGGATTTTCCTCGGGATCACTGGGAATTCTTTGTTCCTGCTGGATCAGGAATATTTGGGATGTGTCCCTGTGCATCCAGGTGTGCCCTGAACATTCCAAAGGGTCTGGAATTCCTGCTATCCTGGGAAAACTTCATGCCAGGGAAGCAGGAAACTTTTACCATTGGAGTGAAAAACCTTGGAAGGGAGGGAAAAAAGGGAATAAAAGAGCTCCAATCCCAGGATTCCCAGTTAAAATCAGGGATTTCCATGGGATTTTGCCAGGAGTCTTTCCCCC